TTAAATTTTGCCATGTAACAAAATTACCGTTCATAGTCAACATCACATTTACAAAGACCCGTCAAATTTTTCCCGTAATGGTGACATTCCACACAGCAGTTGTTAAAAATATAACTTGCATGTTACAGCCTTTTAAACTGACGTTTGAGTTTATTAGAACCAGCGAATAAGTAAATGAAGGTTTAACAATTGGCAGGTATCTTGATTACAACAGCAACAAGCGGATTTGCATCGAATAATGCGAGCACAATAGAGGAATGGGTTTTGATTCAAGTGACATCAAAAACGAAATATGTTTTTCCTGTTCCCGCGGTAAGCAAATTAGAGCAGACAACATGAGTTATGAGTTTTATAGTAACCGCCGTTTTGTTAGGTGCATGACTTAATTTGTGCAAATTTTTCGCGAGATTTATTTAATGTAAAAATAGACAACAAAGATCTTAATCTTGGAAATACTGTCCATAGTTTTCAATGGTCGTACGCCATCTCTCAGGTAATGTACAAAGGCCGTCGCGAAAGAAATTTGCAGGCTTTGAGGCAATAAAGTCATTGATGACTTTATGCACATCGAGTCTTCTGAATTGCGTGAGCAAAGCGAGGTCGAATGTTGTCATGCAGCAGTATGACCAGTTTCCAGGACTTCGTAAAAGCGTATATTTTAAATGTGTTACCAGATACACAGGAGAATTCTCTTCAAGTGGATTTCCTGTATAGAGTTGTCCGGGATCTACCCACGACATTTTACGTTTGGGAGTCTCTTAAAAAATACGTTTTGTCACCCCTCATAAGGTTCTGTCAGAAGTCTTTTTTGATGCCAGCGGGTAAGCAGTGAGAAGCATTTGTTCATGTGTGTTCAGTTAATACATGTGACATCCAGATTCCAATGTTCTGAACTTTTCCACTTGGTGCAAAAGCTTGGAAATAGCTGTTTTGGTGACTCCTAACTGACCTGCAAGCTCTTGGTGAGTTTGTGTTGGGCCTTTATTCAGTAGAGCTTGCGATTCAGCATCAGCAAACTTTTGAGGCCCTCTGGGGCGCGGCTGGTCACGAAGACTAAAATCCCCATCACCATCAATTACATGTTACACAAGACACAACTTTGACACCCAGAACACTAAAAATTGATTCCCGTGCTCAATAAGCATATTTTCATTGATGGAATTCATTTAAATGCAGTGCTAGTGAATGCGCTGTTCAGCAGTTGCCAAAGTAAAATCTGTTATTCTGACAGATTACGTAACTCACGTAGACTTTTCGATCGGTTTTCTGAAACCTTATATTTCATCCTTTCAAAATCAAAATTTGAAATACAATTTTAAGCTCGAATAATAAATCGGTACATCTAATATTAGATTTATGATTTGATTGCAATAATTATTCATCTGGAAGTAGGTGAAGCCCCGTATGGATTTGGTCTTGGTTAAATTTTAGTAACATATTACCTTACATAAAAGATTAACTCTTTATTTAGATATTAATATCTAAAAGATAATATTTTACCACTTTCAGGCTCTAATAGGTAAGAACAATTTCCATTAGGCTGATTTTTTAAGCACATTGTGGTCCAGTGCAAATAAAACATGATATTATTGAACTATCGTGCTCATTTTTCTTGAAGGTATACAGAGAACAAATGGCTTCTAATCTACTCTTGATAAATTAAAGGCATAGTAATAAATTCTGGGGACGGCTTCCGTTCTAAATAATAACATCTCTGAAACGTTGACACCGCTGAGGAGAAAATAAATTCAGCTTGACAGAGAAGGTTGAGGCACCATGCAAAAACGAGAAAATATTGAGACCATAGCCACCCGTGAAGTAAGAAACCCTGCGCTAAGGTGCCATGTAACTGTGTGGCAATGCCCAAGTCCATAAATGAATTTGTCGATTGCAATTTTCACTTCCATGATGCTTAGTTCTGTAAGAGCAGCTGGCCAAAATCGCGAAACCAAAAAAAATGATTTCACAATCTACAGTCAATCCAAAGGAACAATCAGAGGACTCCATGCACATCACCTTCAATTAATTCAAATTATAATACAGAACCCTCAAAAAGGTAATAACTCACCACAAGAATTAACCTACACTAAGAATTCGGACCAGATCAGCTTAGTAGCAATCAGGAAAAATGAGTTACTAAAACCACTAAGTTATAAGCTTATTAGCGTTCATTATAAATGTAGGACGTGATACTTTCAGTTAATAACATCGGCAATCTTTCTGCTAGACCCTATGACTTCGAAGTAAGGAAGACGTGCCTAGTAAAACATGTCGAGACTAGCATGTAATTTAGTCAAGTCTAATGAATTCGTATTTTTCAGAATATTCTCAAGACCTGAGAACAGAAATTAAGCTGCATTTATAATGGGTGCAGTGAGGTATTCTAGACAGTCTAAATATATTAATTTTTCTCAATAAAGACGCTAAAACTGGCCTTGTCATGAGTTTATCCGTTGTGAAGGGGCTTTCAAAATTTTAGAACAGGCTAACTAGTGTTTTCGCCGGTTTCAAGTTATTTTAGAAACGTCACCTTCCCAGTGTTGTAATGATTCACAGGTAAAAATTGTCCCTTTAAATTTGGTCATTGAGCTGAGTTGTCTGCCTGGTTACACCTTTCATAAACTTGTAATAAAACTAATGGTCAGTGTAGAAAATGACAACTTCAGTTAATGTGGCCTTGAATTTCAATGATTTCCTGCGAAACACCCAATTTTAAAAAGCCACGATAAGTTATCCCGACACAATTCATCAAACGGCAAAAGTGACTGAGGTTTCCATTATATGTTTAATAAATTAAAAGTTGTTCAACCAAGATAAGATTTGTCATTTATAGACTGTGAAAGATTGGTAGCGGAGGCAACAGACCACAGCATTATGCTCCAACTAGAATTAAGTAAAAAGGTTTACGTAACGGACCTTGATTTAAACAAACGTCAAAGATTAGTAAATGTCTACCGACCATACTTTAATTGGAAAAACTTTATTTACCGGCTTTTGGTATCACTGCGCATGTTCGTTGATAAATTTACTTTATATTAGAATATTTGCTGGCTAAATTGGCTAATCAGATTGTTTGGCCCATAAAAGTACAACATGCAAAACAAATTTGGCATTAGATTAAGCCAAGGTGCGTAAATGAACACATACATCCCATAGATATTAGCTGTTTAGTGAAATACAGTTAATTATTACTCTAACAAAGGCGACGCGAAAAAAACTTAGACTTTTGGAGGTTACTTCGAGAGTAAAAAATCGAGTTGGGAAAACCGGCAGAAGATGTACAGGTTTGCGTTTTCGAGATTTCATTAAAGGGAAGTTATTAACTCGCAAAAAGAAATAATCATAAAAATTCCCCCAAAAGTTTAAAAGGTAATATAAATCGGGTAATAGAATAACTTTGATTCTCAATCATGACATTTGCCGGATATTAAACACGGTAAATTTAAGGTTGCCAATTGCATCAAAATTCATGACTCGGATTTAATTATTAAGTTAAAATGTACTGCGTTTCGAGCATAACGCAACTTCAGCATGGTTTTGTTTACCCTTGTTATACAAACTCACAAGATTGATTTACATAGGGTTAGCAGATAGTTGGGCATTCCCTAAAAGTCACTCTTGACTTAAACAAACAGATATCGACGAATTACAGGTAAGCTTACCAACATGAATGACCAAGTGCCTATTTTAATTATCCATAATGCATGAGTCTGTGCCTAGTCTTACGGATAACCAAAGTGTCAAAGGAAAATAGAGTAACTGAATTTTAAAATATTTGACTTTATTCTTCTAAAATCAAAATGGTGCGACTTTGAATGCATTTCAAAAATTCAATCAATCAATCAATCAAAAATTCAATTCAATTCAATCATTTCCTGTTGTTTTTTTTTACATCAAAAACTGATTCAGTGCAAATACAATTCACCGCAATAATTTATTTGTTTCCCAGAGCGCATCGATAGTTGGATTCAGGGCACATGGTTTTAATCACTTGTGCCCGCAATTGCAAACAAGGTTAACATGGCACAATGAAGCATATGAGCAGTTTTGTAAAATTGTATAGATTTGTTTAATGAATAATTTCTCGTAGCTTCGAAGCAGCATCTCTTCTACAATTCCATGGACTACCCGAGTATCCCTTTTTCCACATCATAAATTATTCTCTAACTCATAGTGACATATTATAACTAGTTAATAAATTTTAAAATCATTAATGAACAAATCACGGTCTGCATTATTAAAAATCACGTCGCGGTTATCGAAATGAATTTCGCATCAAACGCAAACGTTAAAACAGTAAACTACCAAAGATTAAAGCAGTTTTGTACAACATTACTGTCACAGTTTCAACGCTAGTCGTTAAGTAGGTTAGGAGGTGTATGTGTTGCACTTGTAACAACATTGAAATTTTATGGGCCTTTGCAACAAAATTCACTGAAAACGTTGGGTTCGAAGATACTATCGTTCATTTCTAGTCTAACATTAAATCGCTTGGTCTCCCAAAAAGGATAGCTTTTAAACTCCTTCCGATTGTGGCAGATTATATTTTTTTTGTTAAGACAAGATTAAACGATTAACCTTCCACAGGTTTTCCCATTCAAGAAGCGTTACACTGAGTTGATCGTTGCATTTTGCATTTCTTTAGTAATGATCAGGACTACAATTAAGATTTCATTTTCCAAAGGAGTGCATTTTTCTAGAACGTTTAATAAGACTTTAAAAATAAAATGGTTGCCAAATATAACGCAAATGACTCCGGACATAGTAATTTTTCTATCAATTTTTGCAGGCAAAAATCAAGGTTTTTGTGCCAATATTTCTTAAAATAAATTTTACTTGTTTTTGCAAAATACACATATGGTCTCAACTGTCTCAGTTTCGTTTTAATATACCGTTTGTGCAATTTTCGTCCTAAATGTGGACGCTGTTGCACTTTTAAAATGAGCCGCAAGCAGATATTTCAAGGTTTTTATATCTTTTTTTCTTATCACATATACTAGTTTTTGAACAGTATCAAAGGTCGCGACTAGCGTTTGTACAGTCTATTTCTGATCTAGCTAATCGCTCTCAAAACATTGATCTGCTAACTAAATTTGATATTTTTGCTTTCCTGAACCCATTACTTAATGACTCGATGCCAACAATTCAACAGATTGCAGCAGGGGCTATTGGAAAAATTGCAGGCTATTCTAAAGCGGCAGCTTCGCTGGCACTTGAATCAAAGACCGTATCTCTTTTGATTTGTTCTTCGGGAATGGATCACGTAATTTTTTTGCTAATACTCACATTTTTAAGAGATTCTACAAAAGATCGGCATTAATTGCCTTGCAGTCAATTTCAAAACACTCACCTGAGATGGCCTCTGCGATTATTCGATGTGAGGCCTTAACAGTAATTAATGCATGCTTAGAGGATTTTGATCTCTATGTAAAAGAAAATTCAATAGCATGTGTTAGTAGCCTGGCTCGACATAATGAGGACTTAGCACAAGCAGTTGTTGACTCTGGAAGCTTGCCACCTATAATACTCTGCTTGCAGGAGCCAGATGTTAACTTAAGACGAGTAGCAGCTACCGCCTTGGGAGATATCGCCAAGCATTCGATAACTTTAGCGCAAAATGTCGTCGACGCTTCTGGTATTTGGCATTTGGTGCAACAGACTACAAATACGTGTTCCAAATTGAAGGTAAAATAGATGTTGTCACAATTTTATTCCCAGAAACAAGCGTTCTCTGCATTGGCTCATATCGGAAGACACACACCGGATTTCGCTGAGCTGATATTGGAATCAGGAGTATTTCCACAAGTCCTAGTTTCCATGAAAGATAAAGACATAAACCTCCGAAGAGAAGCAGCCAATCTTGTTCGGGAGCTGTGCAAGCATACTTTTGAGATGTGCCAGACAGTAGTGAATTCAGGCGGGATTAATGCACTGGTGGACTTTTTGGATGAAGCCAAAGGACACACACTCCTGCCAGGCATAATCGCTTTGGGCTATATTGCAGCTCACTCGGATTCGATGGCAGCTGCGGTTATTAAAGCTTTTGTATGCTTAATCTTACTATTAATCAAGGCGTATTTAGGCTCTTATTCAGCTAAAGAACATCCTTCAAGAGGAGAAAGACGAGATTAAGGCAGCGACTGTATGGACTATCGGACAAATTGGCCGACACAGTGCAAACCACGCCGGTGCTGTGTCCGACACTGGCTTACTTCCAATCATACTTTCATGTTATCTTAACCCTGATAGCTCAGATGAATTGCAAGAAAAGGTAAAATGTGAGTTAAAAATGACATTTTGTAGTCAAAAACATGTCTCAAACAGGTTCTTGAGAAGTGCAATGATATGGAATCACTCCAGTCGCTCTTGCATAATTCACCGCCCAACATTCTTAAGTATGTTTTGGCGCAGTTCAGCAAGCTTTTGCCCCGAAACGCAAAAGCCAGGCGTGAATTTGTTGTAAGCGGAAGTTTAAGAAAGATCCAGGAGATTAATACGGAACCTGGATCAGCACTGAGCACACACATAGCTGCTATAAACAACTGTTTTCCTGACGATGTCGTGAAGTTCTACTCACCAGGATACCCCGAAGCATTGTTGGAACGCGTGGAGGCTTACCAACAAAATCACTGAAAGTTCTAAATTAGTTGTGTGCAATCAATAGGTAACTACCCTTTATTACAAAAAAGCACCAACATTGAATACTGTTTAAATTTTAATTGGAATTCTAATTTTAAATCTGTACAACGAATGGTAAAGATTATGCCAGCAGTAAACACATAAAAGCCCAGAGATTAAAGTTATCCAAGAGAAACAGTACAAATGGATCGCGACTCATTGGGGAAAATGAAAGCTCCCGGGCCGTTCGGAACGATAGAAATAGGGAGTTCCCAAGGAAATATTTGTCTGTCACAATTAATTGATGGTGTGTAGTCTGGAAACTTAGTAGTTGAAGGCTCCTGGAGGAACAAGTTGAACAACTTAGGTTCTAACGATGATCGGGATCTACGTCCGGGTAGTGTTTTTGCGACGGCAAATTCAAATCTTAAACACCATTGCACTCGGAATGGACATGTAAAAAAGTTGCTAGTAATCATAAACTCTGGCGGAGCATTCAGTAAAATAGGGATGGAGAATGGCAAAAACCTAGTGTTGGAACACATCAGCCGTGTCTCAAACCACACCGTTTGCCAGGTGTTTTCCAGCAATGTGGGAGCTAAAAAGAATTATCAAATACATGCTATCAGTAATTACCTTTTTCTCTAGAATCTCGAGGTACTTCAATGGGAGTAGTGAAAAATAAGAGATCCTTCTCCAATGTGTTTTCTTGCTGGAAAGAGAGATCGAAGTATTCGTTTGTAGTTGCGCGAATAACGCACTCAAAACAGGGAACCGCAGCTGCTTGAAAGTCTAGGAAGCCCCGCAATGAGTCGCCTAGTCGCGCAGCTGTTTTGAAAAACCCGATGCGGCAAATATGGCCATTCGGACCCGAAATCACAAATGTTGCTTCAATTGATAAAAGTGATTTAAAACTAGATTTACATGGACTACGTTTACCAAGCACATTTGACTAAAGCATACCAACGGAGCTGGATGAAACCATTTCAGCAAACATGGCTGATGGTAACCGTGAAGGGGATTCCTTTCGGATGCGTTTTTTCCTACCTCTGGCCTTTTTTGTACCATGTGAACGGTTCGAATAGGACATTTGAGCCTCGGTTAATAATTGGGAAAGCCTATCGAAAACAGCCGGATGAAGCTCTTCACGCGATAGGCATCCATCACCGAGGGGGCTAGTGCCACATCCAAACTGTCCGGTGGAATCATTTCGGAAAGGATTGGAATCACGATCCGATGTAATCAAGCTCCCATGATAATCGCTGCCCATTAACACAGGCAATGTAACAGAAATTGTTGAAGAGACCGCTGACAAGGATGGGCTAGAGTGATAATAAGCGCGAACCGAAGGCAGAACCCGAAAAGGCAGGTGTAGTAGTCGTGGTGATATGTTACCAACTTGAACTTGAATCAAAGCCTTATAGGCAAACCGAATAATGTTTCCACGGTAGCTGGGTGGTAGATGCTCCGGTAGGCGAGCCCTGAGAGTTATCTTTGTGCAGGACTTCTCATCAATTGCGAAGAAGGGAAATTGCGTGCCGGATTTTAGGTGACCAATCCAAGAAACACGACTCTGTGGATCAAGCCCAGCATCAAATACACTATCTAAAGTAATAAAGTACTAAGTACAACTCAAACACAAATCACATAAACACGCTTCGCAAACAGGAGCGCATACCAAGTCTGTAATCGCCACCGGGCAGCTTTCGGGGCACAATCTGAGCGAATTCATGATGACTTTGTAAATTTTGCGCGATGGCAACCGTGTTCAGACGATATTGACCCACTAAAATCCCTTCAACGCTTCTTATGTCCCTAAATTGGATGACATAAAAACCCTTAGCCTCCAAAGGGGAGACATTTTAAAGACAACTGCACAGATTCAGAAAAGAGAAATTAACCAATTTACATACCATTTGGTTTGGGTATTTGCACGTGTCACGACTACTTCACAGCGTACTACTTCATCACATAAAAAAGTGGGCGGTTCTGGAATTTGAGCTACGACTTCAAACTCATCCATCTAGCAACAAGATGGAGAAACATAAAAACGTTGAGTTGATAAAGGTGATCAGTAACTCACCTTATGTGACAGAGCGTTGGATTTATTATTATGATTTTTGCAGCTCGTGATTCGGGAACGTCCCTAGTCACAGAAATTTTTGTTGCCACACTCGTAGATTTGATCGTCTAGTTTATATGCAATGTATATGAGAAAGTGTAGGGATAATGCATGTTCGTCTGAGACAGAACATAACGTTGGACGCACTACTATCTGGTTAGCCCAGTCTTCTAACGTATCCGATTACCAGACTACTTATTACACAAGTACACAGAGGTGATAGTTGAGGTTCTGATAAGAGAGTAAGCAAATTCATGCCGTTCACTAGAGGTAATGAGTATTTTGCCGATTATTGTTCAAAATGTGATAAATGATTCATGAACGAGAGCACTAAAAACCGCGTGTCGGACGAAAAAATTACACACTTTCAGTACAAATCCTTACTACTGAGTAGAAAACATAGTCCAAGAAAATCGAGATTGGGTAACAAGGCAAATCGTCTTTCAGGATTTAAAGTAACAAGGCAAGAAAGTAGAAGATTATGATGAAAGGTTGGCAATATATAATCATAGTGATTATCAATTAAAAGGTTGCCAAAGCTTCCAGAACACAATTAACAGTAAAAGCACATTCTGAGAGATAACGGAGGAAAGACATTAGAGTTCGTAGACTATTTACTAGATTTTACTGAGATGCAAAAACGTAATTATGAATAACTATACTGTTGCTCTTTTGATAAACTACAATACCACTGGCTACACAAGCCCTTCGAAGCAAAATAAGTCGATAAACACAGAATAATGAAGCTCAGGAAAGTTTTCTTACAAATAAACAATTTATTTGTGTAATACCCACTAGTGCACAACTTATATAAACTAGGAATAATGAGTTGCAAGCAACATAATGCTATCAGAACAATAGATCTTTCTAAAAAAAAACTAATTCACATAAATGCACCAGCTTGTAGTACCCCGTGACCCACAGCCCTTTGGAAAAAATTTGACCGGGTGATTGAATGCTCACTCTAAACAATTTATCAAAACCACCCGACGATTGAGGAAAACACAGTATGACACCAGGTGTCAAAAGTAGTGTTTTACCACTGTGCATTCAAATACGGTGGCTTAAAGGTGATTAGTTGAAGTCTTACGGACATTCATTGCTCACAATAATCACCAGTCTCGGTACAAGTAAATCCCTTTCACGTATGTGCGCACACTGACGTATCATGTCCAGCTGATAGACAGATTATTTTGTTCACCTTTTCTTGAAGCCTTCTTATTATCGTCTTTGTTTCTCGAGTTCCTTTGGTGCCAAGTAATATTATGGCCGCATTGTCGCATAGTCAGCGATCAAGGAAACCAAAGTACTGCTAAATCAAACCAAGCATTCGGGTGTACTCAACAGTTGAATAAGTATTACATTTAATCCCGATTGCGTCATGACCGCAGTATAGAATACTATACATGTGTATCGAGGACCCCGTGTTCAAACCGACGAAGATGACTTAACGATAGCCATCAAATCAGAATTATCGTCTCAGAAAATCTGCTATTTCCCTGACGTACTAAATCCGATTTTTTATTCTGATTCAAAATATTGTGCTTGCCAACTCTTACCGACAAAACGTCTCCGCACCCTCGAGTTTATTAACCAATTAGATGACTCACACTGAGCTACCTAATTAACGCTGTTCAGCACTTCTTACCATTCTGTATAACATAAATAATAAAATCCTGCTTGATGAATTTGTAGGCGGTATACATTAGCGTGTATACTTAATCAAATTAATAGGTCGATTATTTGGGATAGTTTTTAATTTCGAGGATTTATATTAGTTGAGGCCTAATTAAACGTGATTTCAAAAAAGAGAAAAATGTAGGACTTATTCGCACACAAAATCTTGATGCCTGTGGTTTGAAAAAGCACTAGTGGTTGTAAGGGAAAGGACTACCGAAAATATTCCGAAACATGACTGGGAAACTCTAAGAATGTTACCTAATATGAATTAACAGCGGTATTTTGTAGGACAAACTGTTACCTATGTAAGCCATATGAGTATCTCTTGTCTAGAATTAAAATCATGAATAACCCGGTAACTATTACGTATTTCATCCAGGGCTCAACCTTTTATTGCATCATTCTAGGTGTAGTCATTTATGCTAGCAGTACATTAGCAGATCGGTTCGTGAAAAGTTTTTGCTTAAATTTATTTGACGTTTTTAAAGAGATTATGTATTAAAGTTTAGATGTTAATTATTTGTATTAAATACATTAGTGAACGCTATCAATGAGGGCTCGATATGTATTTTGTAAATACATAAGGAAAGCCAAGTCGAATCTATGTAATTTTGTTTCGCATATACCCATGAAGGCTTGAAAGGACGGAGATAGCAAAACACAACCGTTTATTAGGTGTCTCAGTCTATGAATGACTGTTGTGCATAACTAATGAAGGTTGCTGACAAAAGCAATTAGCGTATGGGGCAGAAGAACAAATAACTGGATAGCCGGATGGGTTTAATGAGAGGCCTAAGATCCGAAGGTATGCATGATCAGATTGGTGCAAATAAGCATGAAGACGCTGGAATGTAATGACGATATTTCAAAAATTGCGGCGATAAAACTAAGGTAATGGAATTTTATCAGCTTGAACTACAACGCAGTTTAATTTTGCAGAATAATAATATAGAATTGTCTCAAGCTGGATTGTTTAATTTTCTATTATGAAAAATTTTAACACTAAACAGTGATATAAGAAAATTCCCCCACCTTGTTCTGGATGAAAGAACGCCTAGGAACTAGCTGTGCGGGAAACGCATCATCCTATCAAAATGGGGAAAGACAGCGGCTTTGACATGTGAGGCAACAACACAACGGATCATTAAATAGTTCAGCAGAAATTTTAGTTAAATTTTCTTGAAAAAGAGCTTAGTTGGCAGATATTGGCAACAAATATCAGTGCTTGAGAAACGTTTGTTAAATAGAATCGCATGCATTCGTCTTCCATGTAGTTTATGCATGATCGCAATCTGTAAAATTCACCAAATTAATTATATTTTCCATATGAGAAAAAGCCTGCTTGGTATGAGTTAGCAACTGATTTACTCATTAGCAATCTGATTATATTTATAAGAGGATTAACCCACATTTTTGTTGATTCAAGTTGCTACTGATGGGCTTGCAGTCTTTATTGTTAAATAATCTGTAGGTCGCAGTTTTTGTTTATGACTTGTATAACTCAGATTTTGAGCGACCACAATTTTTTTCCTAGGAATTCCACATCGAGCAAGTACACATTATGCACACAAACTTAAAGCAGCTTCTTTAAACTTCGAATACTGCAGCATGAAGGATGAAACCATACAAAGGAGGCATCTTGTTCCTTTTGATCTGCCTTCAAATTGAACCTTGATCAAATGATATAACTTACTTAACAAAATAAGGTAATTTCCCAAGAAAGCTTGTTAACTCATAACAACGACATTAATGGTCGAGTTACCGGTATTTTTCAAATTGCGATGAAACTATTTCGACAATCTTCGATTTATACTCATCCACAGCCTCAATTCAAATGAACATTTTTTTTAATTTTCTATTCTATGTACACCAAATTACATAAATTATAATAAAGTGATATAAGTTTCTTATCAGTCATTTTCGCTTTCTCGAAAAATCACACGGTTTGAAGTAATCACATAAAGCTTTGATGCTTAACCTTCTTATATCTTAATTCTGAGTTTATAAGGCGTAATTTTATATATCAATCATTTAATCAAGAGATAAGAATGTTATGAATTAGCTTACCTAAAAAATTTACTGTTGTTTTTATCAAAATTTCTTAGTGAAGTTAATGATCAACACAAACATAAAATCTGGTCTGTAGCTCAATTATTCCATTTTTACTTTGTCTGACTTCTTACAAGCATCTTGATTTGCATATCCCACCCTTAAAAAATTAAACAGGGGTTCTGCAATTTCCTTATTACTAAGCATCGTGTCATCGAACTCCACAAAAATCCAATAATAGGATATTGTAATTTTAAATAATAAATTATGCCTTGAACAAACTGAGCAGTTGAATGCAACTTTAAAGATTACTTATTGTGAGATTGAGCCAATTTTAAAGGGCACATGTACGGAAAGATAGTGAGCTTAGATAAACTGCATGCCAGAATCATCCGATAGCCACCATCTCTCTGAGTACTTTTGTAGTGTAACGGAATGCAGATAGTTGCTCTATTGGCGCTCAGTCGTTGGTCGAAGGAAAACAGCACGGCGGGGTGACGACTTCATGTTACCGGGGGCGCGACATGGCGTCACGGGGGCATCGAATGTCGAGCCGGGGACTGAGAGCTAATCCACTCATGAGTTTCGCGTCTCCATTACGACGCCGCGGAACGGACTAATGGAAGAACATGACAACCAGGTCAAGGATAAATGATGACCCTATTTCCCCCCTTACGCCTGATTACATTGTGACTTGTTTCAGTCTTTATTAAATGAATCTATTTTGCCTTCTCTCTTCTTGACCATACCATGGGGCCGAAGCGTATAGTAGCGACGTATTAGAGCGAAGACATATTGGACCATGCAGGCCTCAGCCAATTCTCTATCCCTTTGCGTTTTAATGGCATGCGAGGAAGATAGGCAAACAATCAGAGACAAATGAGGAGCAGTTTATAATGAGCTGCTTAACCATCGTGGTGAACCGGATGAACGGCGCCTGGTGTGTGGTTCTGGCTTGTGATTGGTAAAGAAAGCCTGTTCTGTTGTACCAGTCTTCTTCATACTAGGGCTCGGGTATTCAACACATTATATGGGCTACGCTCACTATTACATTCGGTCTAATTATCCACCCGTGTCTATCGTGAGCAGCTAAGCGACCTAATAGGTCTCTAAAACGCGAACACAAAGAGCCTTTTATAAGAATGAAGCACGATCCAAAATGGATGGAACCC